AAAGAACGGGATTTTGGCCATCTACACTCATTTTATAGATAGACATTCCATTTTATATATTTATAAGACCTAACCAGGAACAGTTGCAAAAGCCTTTCATATACGTCTGTTATCAGATCAACCCTTGAGTGTTGTGCACATTTGGCATGGCAATCTAACAAATGAGCAACCACGTGATATTGAGCGTATTCAAAAGGAGCTCTTCGAGCAATGCTTCCTGAGTTATCATATGAAGACGCTTTAATGGAATATAAGCTTAAAACTCTAGAAGGTCGTAGAGAAGGTAGGTAAGCGAAATTATATATATATATATATATATATATATATATATATATATATATATATATATATATATATATATATATATATATATATATATATATATATATATATATATATATATATATATATATATATATATATATATATATATATATAATTTCGCTTACCTCAAAATTCCACAACAGTCTGTTTCATCAGTAAAGAATCATCAGGCGGTGATGATTCTTTACATCACCGCTTGATGATTCTTTACTGATTCTTTACTGATGAAACAGACTGTTGCGGAATTTTGAGGTAAGCGAAATTCTACATTTGCTCTATCTTTATGATATTGAGCACTCTTTGCGTTTCGTATACACAAACCTACTCATATATATATATATACATATATATATATATATATATATATATATATATATATATATATATATATATATATATATATATATATATATATATATATATATATATATATATATATATATATATGTGTGTATTAATCTTATTAAGTCATTGCTTGACCCTGCATTAATCTTATTAAGTCATTGCTTGACTTGTTGCCACCCAAAGTTTGTGAAATTAGGAATAGAGAAGTAAGCCAAGTGGAGAAAAGATTTATAATTTTAACTGTCGGACACAACGTTTTAAAAATATAGTGCAATTGTCTATGCACATGCATGGAGTCGAAGAATATAATAAGGTTTAATTAATAGTTCTTAGGTTGAAATAGGAGTATTCTTGAAAAAATAGAGGATGCGCAGCCAGGTTGAAACATTATTTATTGAACGTTTTCTGACTTAATATTTATTTCTACGAGCTTTCGGCTATCCTTCGACGGGTGTATACAAATGATTCTAAACTTGAGTAGGTGGTATGAAATCTGAGACTATCCATGCTATGTTACAAATGGAGAATATGAATATATAATTAATGTTTCTTGAGTTTCTTTCTTCCAGCAAAATACACAATACTTTTAAGAAAGGAACTCAAGAAACATTCATTATATATTCATATTCTCAAATTTCACACCACCTACTTGAGTTTAGCCTACTTTAGAATCATTTGTATACACCTGTCGAAGGCTATATAGACTGATAGCCGAAAGCTCGTAGAAAGTCGGAAAACGTTCAATAAATAAGGAGTATTCTTGTAAATAGAGTAGTGTATATGATCTATATAAGTATTTCAGTTTTAACTGTAATTCGCATTATAATTTATTCAAAAATCATTAGTAATTCATGAGGAAAACACAAAGAAAAATCATAAGCGTGTCGTATCTTTATATGTGATAGAGATTTCCCTTGATTTACATAAACTTTAACTTTGATTTTCTCGACTTACACAACGTATTTTTTGAAAATTACTTCGCCAATGAACTTACTAGATCGATCGTTTTTTAAGCAATCTAAAACATCAGTCGCAGTGCGTGTTTTATCAAACCTAAAGATACTCGGCTTCGCCTCGTATCTTTATATTTAATAAAACACTAGCTGTTGCTCGTGCTTTAAATAGTACGTAATATTGAATACCATCGATATTAATTTTCATGGTAAAATCATGCGAATTAACAAATTTTACTATAATAGGACAGAGAAAGGAAATCTGCGCATATAACACCGGTACTTTCTAATCTCCACTGGCTTCCTGTGCAACAACGAGTGACTTTCAAACTCCTTTTGGTGACCTATAAAGCTCTTAATGGCATTGCCCCTACATACATCACCGATCTACTTCGTCGTCATATCCCTGCCCGTACTTTGCGCTCCAGCAGTCAAAATTTGTTAACTGTGCCTAGAGTGCGAACAGAGACATATGGCGAGAAGTCTTTTTCCTGCACTGCTCCGAGACTCTGGAACAATCTTCCTGACTCTATTAAGCAAAGTCCAACTATCGATGAGTTTAAGGCAAAGTTGAAAACATATCTTTTTAGGATAGCTTTTACTGAGTAACTGTTTTTAGATTTTTAGATTCTTGTTGTAAAAAGCATTGAGACTCATGTATAATGCGTTTTAAAGAACAATTATATTATTATTACTATATAATAGGACGCCAATATGCCGATCTACAACGTCACCTCAGCCCCAATCACATCGACTGTTTCGAGCCCCAGTGGGACGGGCAGTATGACTAATGGTGAAATATTCACGCTGGTTGTAATGCTTGTGGTCACTGCTCTGTCATTGGTTGGCAACCTATTGGTTATTGCTGCTGTGTATATCAGAGAATCTTTGAGGACACCCAATAATATGTTCTTGGTTAATTTGGCCCTCGCTGACCTGGGTCAAGGAATCATCGCAATACCATTGCGCATGACTGAAATTTTCAACAGAGGTAAGAAAATGGTAGTAATCGGCAGAATAGTAATCACTCGATCTGAAAATCAAGCTGAAACGAAATAGACAACTTGCATGTTAGACTAATTTTTGATCTAGGCAAAAAAAGTAAATTCCCGTAAAGAACTTATTAAAATTAGTAAAATTGCAAAATTTGGTTACAAAATGTTGTAAAATACGGAAGATATAGTCTTGCGAAGTTTGCATATTTTGTATACGTTTGTATTACGTGCGGAAATTGTTACCATTTTTGAGCCGAAAATATGGTAACAATTTCCGCACGTACAGTAATATACTAATATCGGCAATACAAACATATACAAAATTTGCAAACTTTGCAAGGCTATATTCTCCAATGAAGCTTTACAACATATCGCAACCAAATTTTGCAATTTTACTAATTTCATTACGTTCTTTTTAACTGTGGTGTTTGATTCTCTTCTCTTTACTTAGATTAAAATTTAGTCTAACATGCAAGTTGTCCATTGGAGATGTGAAAATGAGATGCCACTGCAAAACGTTTTTGAACAAATTTGAACAAAGTGTGATCTTCTACAGGGTGTCTCAAAAAAGCGACCTTTAGAAATTCACCTTATTGTTATAATTTGAGTGCCTGAATCCCATATTGAACCCATTGCATGGGAAGTTATTTAAAAGTTTTTGGTGTCGTTCAAGATACAGGGTGTATAAAAAAAACCTGCAAACCCTCTGAAATACAATGCTTTTAGAATTCGCATGATTCGGAACTAATTGATCCCAAGCGTGCGTAATCACAATAGTTGACCCATTCGCAGTCGAACTGATAATTAGTTTTCTGCATTACAAATAACTTTCAGTGTTATTCTAATTTCTATCAACGCGGTTAATTAGAATTATTTTCAAGTCCCAGGAGCAAAATATAAAGTAGCACAGACATTGAAATGCTAGTAAGCAGCAGAATTATGCAAATTATAGTGTTTGCAGGTTTTTTGATACACACTGTATGAATATGATATGTGCCGATTAATAGGCAATTCCGGCTTTTAATTTATGCGCGCAGGGGAGGATGGGAAGTAAGGTATCATATTGCTGATTATGCTGAAAAAAATAAAAATGACGGCCGTGTTAACACGGAGTGATAGCTTATACTTGTAAATATTGAAATATTACGGTTGTTTCGGTAGTTTTTATTGAAATGTTTCAGCATAATCAGCAATATGATACCTTACTTCCCATCACCCCCTGCGTGCATAATTAAAAGCTGGAATTGCCAATTTAACAAAGCGCGTAAATGTGAGAATTTACATGTACAACTTATGCAGTTTTACTATGCTCGCATTGACCAAGTTATGTCGAAATCATGCTTGTTTTGTGTTAATTTGCAAATATATTTCGAAAACTCCGTATCATTTGAGTATTTTTTGTGAGTGAAAGATTTAATGTGGTTTTGGTATCACTCTTTAAAGGTGCTTGCCGTCATGCCAATTATGTATTGCGTAATGCTGTTTGTTAACACATTTTCCTTTTTTTAGGTACAGAGCCACTAGTACCCTGCCTTATGGTGCTATATGTGACCATATTATTCTTTGGGGTCTCAATGATCACCGTCGCCCTGATCTCGACAGATCGCTTCATCGCAATACGCTGGCCATTCTTATACGTGCAATGCTTCACGCGAGGAAGCGTGCTCACCACTATAATGTTTTCCTGGATTTTTATGGTAATCTTTTCGAGTATTCCCTACCTCGGCGCAGCAGTGAAGCCAGATATACCCACAAAATTCTGCTTCTACTCTCAGTACCTTTCGCAGGCTTATCTGCTCGCTATGTTCTCGCTGATCAATATATTGATTATCATCATCTTGTTGTTTACTAATATTTATTTGCTCAAGCAAACACTGAGGCATATTTTAAAGATCAAGTCACAAGTTGTACCGATGGCGTGGGATGAGACCAGCCAGAACAGGTAATGATGAATGATAATGGTGACGATAATAGTAATACAATAATAACAATAATTCAAAACCTCTGTAACACGGAACTAACCTAATACGGACACATTTCTGATGTGAATACCTCTAATAGTATGCATACCTCTCCAATAGGAACACCTCCCTAATACGGACACCTCTCCAATACGGACACCTCTCTAATAAGGACACCTCTCTAATAGGGACACCTCCCTAATAAGGACACCTCTCTAATAAAGACACCTCTCTAATACGGACACCTCTCCAATACGGACACCTCTCTAATAAGGACACCTCTCTAATAAGGACACCTCTCTAATATGGACACCCCTCTAATAAGATACCTCTCCGATATGGACACCTCTCTAATAAAGACACTTCTCTAATAGGGACATCTCTCTAATATGGATACCTCTCTAATTGGATACCTCTCTAATATGGACACCTCTCTAATACGGACACCCCTCTAATACAGACACCTCTCTAATACGGACACCTCTCTAATAAGGACACCTCTCTAATATGGACACCTCTCTAATAAGATACCTCTCCGATATGGACACCTCTCTAATAAAGACACCTCTCTAATAGGACACTTCTCTAATAGGGACATCTCTCTAATATGGATACCTCTCTAAATGGGTACCTCTCTAATACGGACCCCTCTCTAATACGGACACCTCTCTAATACGGACACCTCTCCAATATAAGAACATTTCTCTAATACGGACACCTCTCAAATACAGACACCTCTCCAATACAGACACCTCTCTAATACGGACATCTCTCTAATACGGACACCTCTCCAATACAGACACCTCTCTAATACGGACATCTCTCTAATACGGACATCTCTCTAATACGGACACCTCTCCAATACAAACACCTCTCTAATACGGACATCTCTCTAATACGGACACCTCTCCAATACAGACACCTCTCTAATACGGACGTCTCTCTAATACGGACACCTCTCCAATACGGACACCTCTCCAATACAGACCGCCTCTCTAATACAGATACCTCTCCAATACGGACACGTCTCTAATACGGACACTTTTCTCCGTCCCTTCGCTATCAATACTTGAGAGGTCTGAGTACAAGTTAAACACACAGATGCTTTTAAATTGAACCAGAGTTCATTACAGGTCTGAAGAGGTGACACAGAACTCAACCAACCAAGGAACGGCTCAACCATCCTTCGAACCACCATCTGGGCGTACGAGAGCGCGGTACCATCGCGAGATCAAAGCAACCAGAGTGACCATTGCAGTGGTCGGTTTCACCATCGTATTGACCACGCCCATAATGGTCATCGACGTCGTATCGATCTGGTGTCCCACGTGTTCACCATCCATCATAACTAGAATTGCAGTTGCAATGGCCTATGCAAATTCATGTGTTAACCCTTGGATATTTGCTGGATTTAATAAACTTTACAGGGAAACCTATTTCGAAGTGCTGAAAAGGTTGAGAAACTTCTTGTTGTGCAGATCGTAAACAGAAAAATTCTGGGCATTTTTTAGCGTTGCTGATCGTTTGGAACCAAAGATGATCGAGGGTAAGAAATCCCACAAAGAAATCTGAATCTAAGCTTCAAGGTGTGCAAAATTTCGCCGATAACAGGAACAGCTAACACGAACATAGAAATTTGACCATGCAACAAGAACAACCAATTATGCTCGCCACTGTGCCTGTGGTTCTTCTATGTGATATGTTTCGCCGGACAAAATGCATGGCCAAGATTCACTCAAACTTCACACTAACATTCACAATGAATTCTTTTAGAGACACTTGGGGGCATTTAAAGCTTTATTTTGACACAAATACAGCTACAGAGAAACATTTGTCGGGCTCTACCCGACGTTTATGGTGCCTCAGGAATAATCACCCTGACTAAATTCAATGTGAAAGTACGAAGATATCGTTCAGTGAAAAATAGCCAGAATTTGACTGCGGGGAATGCGCAAAATCCTCTTTGCTAGAATATAATTAAAAATTCGCGTGAACATTCAATTTAATTGTAAATGTAATTGTAAAAATGTACAAATTGTAAATTTATAAAGTGTGTGGAAATAAAAGAAGGCTAAGTTCAAAATTCACGGCCAACTTGCGGTTAAATCTCAATGTAATTTTATCCATAGCAATCGGAAGCTTAATGGGATGATTGCAGCTATACACTAAATTTTGATCTAGGCAAGAAGAACAAAATCCACCACCACAGCTAGAAAGAGCATGTTAAAATTAGTAAAATTGCAAAGTTTGGTTACGAAATGTTGTACGACATTTGGGCCGAAAGTGGTGCATTTTCCCGTGCGTAGTACAAATTAATACAAAATTTGCAAATTTCGCGGTGCTATATTTTCCTCATTTTACAACATTTCGCAACCAAACTTTGCAATTTTAATGAGGTTATGCAATAACCAAGGTTAGCAACTTGGGAACCAGGTATTATGACGTCAGCACGTCACATGACCGGGGGGGGGATGGCGCAATGGGAGTAGGTGACATCTATCATTCCAAGTCTGACGTCCAAACGACGACAACGTGCGCTTTGAATATTTTTTTTTCTTTTGTATGCTTAGTTCAACAATTTATTTCCACCAATTTTTAATTGGTGTGAAGGTGTTAGTTCGGTGGGGGGTGGCAGCTCAAGATGCCATTGTCACGGATCTTAATCTGAGTCCAAGTAACAGGAGTCCGTCCAGGTCACCCCCCTCGGTCAGCTGAGCTAACACCTAACCAACCAAACGGGTAAGTATGGTGGACAAGGTGTTAACTAATTTTAACATGCTCTTTCTAGCTGTGGTGATGGATTTTGTTCTTCTTGCCTAGATCGTATAACTGGAATCCATAGCTGGAATGATCCATTTTCAATGTTTTGCGTAAATTTTGTTTCCCATCCTGATAAATCTCAAAACTGACCTAACGTATGACGTAATGCGCCTATTTGCGCTCGTCTTTACTTGCGGGCGGGGTGCCCTTACCAGGCAGGCACTGCCCGCATAGCCGAACCACCGATCTATATATGTGTAACTGATATGTGGCAAACGAGGCAGTGACGGCAGAAGGGTCAATTGACCACGCAACACAAATAAATTTCACAGGTGACGATTAATTATGAAAGCAAATAAACATTTCCCACACACCTAACCGCCCACAGAGCATAAGAAAATAATTACAAAAAATCAAATTAACTCAAGCATGCAGGAATTCAACCAGAGTATAATATTCCGTGAACCTGGCTGGCGTTCTACCATGAATTGCGCGATCCCAATGACTGATTCAATTCCATATTTTTGCGCACTAGATATTTCCGCGACTACCGAGGCTTGCAAGCACAGGGCCAGCACAGCGATAGCCGACTTCATGCAGAGAGGCTCGCGACATAAGAGGTTAAAGCTCGCGACGTTTTAGGAGAAACAAAAATCGAGCCATAAATACTATATATTCATAGTAACAATCCAGACTAGTTTCCAGTCGATATATTTGGATATGGGCTTTTGGGGGCAGGTGCTTAAAAAGCATATGGAAACTGCAAACGGTCTACATCAAATCGACTCGTCAGATTTGGACAACAGATTCTTGCTTAATTCTCATATTTCTCTGATCAATGGACGATAATATTTTGTTACAAAACAAATGCTTTTCACATGTGTGAACGTAACAGGTCCAACAACATATACATTAATAAAAAAAGCCAAAAAAGTTCTAGAGAACTTGCGTATTAATTTGGAGCAATGTCCCTAATTTAGCCTTATGTGGTGTTGTTACATGCTATTGATACAATGACAAGGAATTTCTCGTTGTTTTCTGCAGTCGCCAAATTAAATAGTGCATTTTTTCCCATCTCTAAAGAAGGGTGGTGTAATTTGATGACAGTCTACGTTCACTCAATTTCAAATTAATGGCCACATCACTAGACTAGGTGCTGGAATTCATTTAAGTAATCTGCTTCCTATTGTAGTACAAGAATATATTGGGTAATGTTTGTTCCCTATACAAACAAACGATATGTGAAAACTATCTGAAATTCCTGGGAGTGAGATTAAATCTGTCCGCATTTCAGGCCTACGCATCAACTTCCCAACCTAAATACGTGCTAATGTGACACAACCGGTCATTCAAGCCTTTTAATTAAACTTTGGTCTTTTAGTGAAACCAGACTTAACGGCTGTGTAACATAACATATTAGATGTTGCTGTGTTTAATACAGTCATAATATTTACATTCCGAGTACATGAATCTGTCGTGAAGTTCGCCTGATCTTTTCTCACACACTGAACGAGAAGAATTACAACACTACACTTAGCATGCTGTGAAAAGAAAATTTGGCAAGCCCAGCTGAGAATTGAAACCACATGCGGATTGGTATAGCGATTTAAGGATTCATATTCAGTAAGTATGTAAATGTTCTTGTAAGTTTCCTACCTTTATTTTGAAATGTAAGACCATATATTTAGGGTAAAATCTCAACATTGTTTTGGCAACACAAAGTCCACTTTGAATCAGGATATATTCAGCGAACTAAGACTGGCGTTTCATCAATTGAGCAATCATTAAGATTCACTAATACGATTCACTATAATACGTTTCTCGGCGCACGAAATATTCGATTTTGTCTTTTGGAAGAGTTTAAGGATTTCACTAAGCGCGACATGCATGTATATCATATTCAAATACATATGCTTTTACCGAGTGATTTAGTCCAATCCATTATCTACTGATATTATAAGGCTTGAATTACCACACATATATGGGACGCATCGCTAACGTGGTGGTCCAAGGCAGATAGTATTGTACAATAAGCTGTCTCAACTACCTGAGGAAGATTAAAAGTTTAAACACTTCTGCGTGACGAGTGCATGAGGAACTTCGTAAGAACGTCAGTGGTTAATTTAGTAAATGATTATCAAACTTCCTGACGCGAGAAGTGTCTTAATATATCGAAATGGTTTTTGATATTTTCAGTCTCTGGTAGTCCAGACACTATAACCACGGCGGTTTATTATAGAAACCATCCCCCATGCGTCTGTGATTCAGTTTGTCACGGCCACGGGATTTTAAAAAGTATATATAAAGGTAAAATAGCGATTGCATTTGCGAATGTTGAAATTACTTTTGAAATGTTATTTCTGAGAACTTATAGAAGCGATATTGCATGTTTGTTTATTTTATGCCATTATCGGTATTTCTATGAAGTCATTGTGGAAACAATCTTCACTGACATGCAAACGAACAGATAAACAATTTCAATTATTTCATTTTCAGACTTTATACGGTGATAGTTTCATTTTCATATTCCAAGTCTGAAGAGGAATTGATGAGTTTTCAGAATGAAACCGCAATACCTTCGGAACGGTTAAAGCAATTGAAAAAATATTCAATGCCATTCTTCATTGACATTTAATGAATGAAATAAAACAATTTAGACATTTCTAGCTTGTCAGGATTTCTCTGCATGGAGGCCGCGCATGAAGATCATTTGTGATTATAACGAGTAGCCGTGATCGAACAAAGTCGTCAACTTGACCGGAAAATCGTTCTATCTCAAGAACGATAGAATTTACAATAAAATCATTCAATGACATTCTGCATTAGGTTTTAAAGTATAATATATACAGAAGCTAGAACAATTGTTGTCATACGGCGTGAAATTGCCGTCTGACGAAAGCAGAACTCCAAATATAAAATCGTTATATTTTTGAAACGGCAGCATGCATGTACTCGGAAATATGCTTTCAAGCCATTCTGCATTACCATTTACCATAAGGAAAATTCAACCATAAGCAGTATTGAACTCTGGTCTCAGAGGTAAAACTGAATACATACACGAAAATCTGCTTTACGCTATCAAAGTTTCTGTGATCACAGTATAGGAATGGACAACTTGCATGTTAGACTAAATTTTAATCTAAGTAAAGAGAAGGGAATATAGTCCGTGTGTTGTGACCCGATATCGTTCACTTTCATTAAGCATGTCTTAGAACTGAAATATTTTTACGGGAACTAACACTTTCGAACACGCTGAGTTCAAATCCGAAAAGTTCCCACTCCGTAGACCCGCAGTTTT